TCATTTTATGGTGGGGTGGGTAAAGAGTGAATAACTTTCTAACAGGTCATGGAAGGTGGTAAGTGCCACCAGGTGTACTTTGATGGAGCTGAGCGAAAGTCCGTCCTGTTTTAGTTTCAGGAGGTAGTCTAGAATGTTAGGGATGGTCACCGTATTGGGCATTAAGTGATTACGTGAGCACCAGAGGGCGAAACGCTTCCACTTCTGCAGGTAAGTTTTACGAGTGGAGTCTTTTCTACTGGGAAGGAGGACAAATTGGACTTGCTCGGAACAGGCCAGTTCATGGGTTTGGAACCACGAAGGAACCAGGCTGTTGGGTGGAGCTTTTGGAGCTGGGGGTGAAGAACCCGTCCATTGTCCTGGGAAAGGAGATCTGGCCTGTTGGGGAGAGCCCGTGGATGATGGGAGGACATGCGGAGCAGGTAAGGATACCACGTCTGTCTCGGCCAAGCCGGGGCAATAAGGATGACCTGGGCCTCGTTGTCTACGAACTTCCGAAGAACCCTGTGTAGCAGAGGGATTGGTGGGAAGGCGTAGAGGAGAGAGTTGTTCCATGGGATGAGGAACACGTCTCCTAGGGATGCAGTCCCGAGTCCCTCTCTGGAGCAAAACAGATGACATTTCCGATTCTGGGGTGTGGCAAAGAGGTCTATTGACAGGGTGCCCCAGAGGGAGAAGAGCTGTTGAAGTACTGCAGGATGCAGTTCCCATTCGTGTTCTGTCGAGAAGTACCTGCTGAGTGCGTCAGCAGTCGTGTTGTGGAAGCCTGGTAAGTAGGAAGCAATGATTTGTATTTGATGATGTATGCACCAATTCCATAGTTGGATGGCTTCCATGCAAAGGGAATGTGATCGGGCTTCCCCTTGTCTGTTGATGTAGTACATACATGCTATGTTGTCTGTTAAGACCCGAATAGATTTGTTCTTTATGAGGGGAAGAAAGTGAAGGCATGCTCGCCTCACTGCTTTGAACTCTAAGAGATTTATGTGTAGGTGCATCTCTGATGCGGACCATCAGTATTGTGCCCTGTGTCCCCCAAGATGTGCTTCCCAACTAATTAGGGAAGAGTTTGTGGTGAGCATGAGCGTTGGGGATCATTGCTGGAACGAAACCCCGGTGCAGAGGTTTTCTGGTCTTGCCCACCACTGTAAGCAAGCTAGAACATTGGGAGGAGGAGTGAGCAGCGTCCCGAAGGTGTGTCTGTTGGGTTTGAAATTGGAATTGAGCCAGCCTTGAAGACATCTCATGTGTAGCCTGGCGTACTGGACCACAATGGTGGTGGCTGCCATGTGACCAAGGAGCTGTAGACAGATTCTTGCCTGTGTCCTGGGATGAATAGAGAGTGTGCGTATGAGCTGCATGATAGCGAGGAATCTGTGATATGGGAGCGAGGCTCTGCTCTGTATTGAGTCGAGATGAGCTCCGATGAACTCGATCTGTTGTGTAGGTGTCAGGGTGGATTTTTGGATATTTATTTGGAGGCCTAGGCTGTGAAAGAGGGAGATGGCGAAATGGGTAGCTTGAAGTGTCTCGCCATAGGAGTTGCCCTTGATGAGGCAATTGTCCAGGCAGGGGAAAAGTGTGATCCCATGTCTGTGGAGGTGAGCCACTGTGGAGGTGAGCCGACTAGAGTTTTGGAAAAGACTCTCGGTGCTGTGGAGAGGCCAAAAGGAAAAACTCTGTATTGAAAATGGTTGTGACCAATGGTGAATTGTAGGAAGTGTCTGTGAGCTGGATGAATTGATATATGAAAATAAGTGTCCTGTAGGTTGAGGGCTGTGAACCAGTCCCCTTGATCCAGTGCAGGAATTATTGTGCCCAGTGTGACCATCTTGAATGTTTGTATCCTCACGAATTTGTTCAGTCAGTGTAGATCCAGGGGTGAAAGTAAGTTAGACGACTTACCAGTACCGCCGGAGTCCTGAGCAGTGGACGTGGCCTCAATCGGAAGAGGCAGGGCCTTAAATCCCCGGGCCCTTTAAATCTTGATTTAAAGGGCTAGGGCTCCAGCTGAGGTAGTGGCGGCTGGAGGCTGGGGCCCTTTAAATCACCCCCGAGCTACCAGCTGCAGAGACAACTGGGATCCCCGGGGCTCAGGGGCGATTTAAAGGGCCCAGGGCTCCAGCTACAGCAGTGGAGCCCCGGGCCCTTTAAATCACTGAGGAGCCCTGGGGGCTCCTGCCTGTCACCGCTACCCCGGGGCTCTGGGCTCTGGCAGAGCTTTAAAGGGCCTGGGGCTCTGTTGAGGTAGCGGCTGCTGGAGCCCCGAGCCCTTTAAAACCCCGCATGAGGCCTGCTGCCCGAGCCCTGGGGTAGTGGCAGCCGGGCTCCATCAGGGATTTAAAGGGCCCCAGGGCTCCAGCCGCCGTTACCGCCCTGGCCCTTTAAATCCTCTCCAGAGCCCCACCGCCGCTACCCCAGGGCTTCGGCAGCAGGGCTCCGGTGGGGATTTAAAGGCCCGGGGCAGTAGCAGTGGCTGGAGCTCCAGGGCCCTTTAAATTCCCGCCAGAGCCCCCCCACCCCTACCCCAGGGCTCGGGCAGCAGGGCTCAGGTGGGCATTTAAAGGGCACTGGGGTGGTAGTGGGGGCTGGAACGCTGGGCCCCCCCACCCCTACCCCAGGGCTCGGGCAGCAGGGCTCAGGTGGGCATTTAAAGGGCACCGGGGTGGCAGTGGGGGCTGGAGCGCTGGGGCCCCCCCACCCCTACCCCAGGGCTCGGGCAGCAGGGCTCAGGCAGGGATTTAAAGGGCCCCGGGGGGGTAGTGGGGGCTGGAGCGCTGGGCCCCCCCACCCCTACCCCAGGGCTCGGGCAGCAGGGCTCAGGCAGGGATTTAAAGGGCACCGGGGGGGTAGCGGTGGCTGGAGTTCTGGGGCTCTTTAAATCCCCTCCGGAGCCCTGCCGCCGCTACCCCAGGGCTTTAAATTGCTCTCTGGGATAGCCAGTCCCGGTACGGCGCACCGGCTCTTACCGGTACGCCATACCAGGGCATACCGGCTTACTTTCACCTCTGTGTAGATCTAGTATAGGCCTCCATCCCCCAGTCTTTTTCTGGGTCAGGAAGTAACGGGAGTAGAACCCTTTCCCTCGATGTTCCGTTGGCAAAGGTTCCGCTGCGCCTAGCTGGAGGAGGTGAGCCACTTCTATGCGAAGTAGGTGCTCGTGAGAGGGGTCCCTGAAGAGGGATGGGAAAGGGTAGGAGGATAGGATATGAATGGGATAGAGTAACCGGACTGAAATATTTTGAGGACCGAGCAGTCCTGTGTAATACGCTGCCACGCATGTTGGAAAGTCTGGAGGCGGTGGCCAAATGGGCAAGTAGGCTGTGGAATCAAGGGGTGGTCGTGCAGACCCTCAACCAACGTTTAAAAATTGTTGTTTATTCCCGTATGGGTGGGAGGTGGTTGCTTGAGCTTGATTTCGTCTGCGCTTAGGGGGTCTAGCGCGATTCCTATTTACATCATATGGTTTGGGTTGAGGCCGATAATACTGTTGTGCAATCGGTCTTTGGTAGGGTTGGTCTCGTTGTCTCCTGGGAAGAGATGGGTGAATGCCCAGGGTGCGCAGTGTCGCTCTAGAATTTTTCATGGTGTGAAGTAGTTCATTGGTTTTTTTGGAAAACAGTTTGTCTTTATCAAAGGGGAGGTCCTCCACTTTGGTCGGCAGATCTTTAGGGATGCCAGATGCAGAAAGCCATGAAGATCTGTGGATAACCACAGCAGTTGGAGAGTACGGGCTGCTGTGTCTGCCGTGTCTAAAGAGGCTTGTAGGGCCGTTCTGGAAATCAATTGGCCCTCACTCAGAATTGATTTAAAGTCCACTCTCCTATCCTCTGGAATGTAGGAGTCAAATTCAAAAAGTTTATTGTAGTTATCAAAGTCGTAGCTGGCGAGGAGTGCAGAGTAGTTTGCAAACCTGAATTGTAGAGTAGAGGACATGTAAACCTTGCGACCCAAGTTGTCAAGGCGTTTAAGGTCCTTGTCTTGTGGGATGGGCCAATATTGTGGCTGTTTCATCCTTTGTGCGACTGCATCCATGATGAGAGAGTTCAGTTGTGGGTGAGAAAATAGGAAGTCAGCATCTTTAGCAGGAACATAATATTTACGTTCGGCCTTTCTGCAGGTTGGTAATAAAGAACGTGGAGTTTGCCCGAGAGTGTCAGCTGGTTCCAGGAGTGCTTCATTTATAGGGAGCGCAATCTTTGAGGGCGCAGAGAGTTGAAGGATTCTGAGGAGTTTTTGCTGTGTCTCCTGAACCTCTTCTAGGGGGATGTCTTGATTGAGTGCCACCCTCTTGAAAAGCTCTTGAAATTGTTTACAGTCATCCACATTCTGTAGAGGCGGGGTGGGGAGAGGGCTCCGTCTGGAGCAGATGGAGAATTAGGGTTTGGTGAGTCAGGATATGATTCGTAGCTCATGTTCTCAGGAGGGGGTTCAGGTACTCTAGGAGTGGATGGAGCTGGAGATCGAGGCACAGAAGCAGGTAGTGGTTTCGTGGAAGAGGTCTGAGGAGGAGTGGTAGGAGGATGTGGCCAAGGGTACCACTGAGGCCAAGGCATAGGGTAGGAGACCCCAGGTGCCGTCCACGGGGGGGGGGGGGCGAAGTAGGGAAACTGAGGCTGTTGGCTGTGGACAGTAGCCTGAGGTGGAAGAGGGTCTGGTGGAGGAGGAGAGGCAGGTGGGGAGAACTCCGTCTGCTGCTGTGTATTGGGTTTGCTGTCAGTGAAGGTAGCCAGTTCAGGTGGTGAGAGCGGCTTTTTTGAAGAATGAGCCCTGTGTATCCAGGAGCAGAGAGTTAGGCTCAGGTCACACTGAGTGAGGAACTGTTGCTCCTGCTCCCTGGGCTGTGCTGAGCCTGGACTGCGCTCTCGCGCATTAGCAAGTGAAAGCGAAAGGGTGAGCGGTGCCACGGGTCTGTTGGAGGTCCCCTGCAGGGGGTCCGTTGCTGGTGCCAGGGCGGGAGGCAGGCTTGGTGCCGACGTTCTTCCCAGCACCGGGGCAGAGCGCACAGTCAGCACCGCGGCTATTTTTACCACTGAGGCGCTTGGTGCTGCGGAAACCTTCCTGGTAGGGGAGGTCGGGTTCCTGCCTCTGCGGGAGCCGTGGCTGAGGCTTTAGAAAGAGCTGAGATGCCTGCCTGTGGCGTGGTCGGCACAGAGGGTAAGGATCTCGTGGGAGACCCTTCGCTCTTGTCGGAGTCTCTTCTGTGAGACTGCTGTGCTTCTTGCCTCTGCTCCAGAGAGGGGGAAGCAGCGCTCCCCACTGGCTCGGATCTGGCCGGGGAGCGCATAGGAGCGGGTTTAACCCTCCCCGTCTCCGAAAGCGGCTGCAGGGATTTTTCCATCGGAAGCATTCTAAGCCGCAGGTCCCTGTCGCGCCAGGCCCTTGCCTTGAGGCTCGTACAGCGGAGGCACTGAGGATGTGGGTTTCCCCGAGGCACTTCACGCAATGAGAGCACCCACCCGACCGTGGCATGGAGTCCTGACAGGAAACACACTTTTTGAATCCTGAAGCCCCTGGCATTGTGAATTAGAAATGGCAGGGGAGAGTGTCTCAGTGGGAGACAAGCCTGAAGCGAAAAGGGTTTTTTGGTGGTTTTTTTTTTTTTAACTAAGTAACTAACTGTGTAACTACACTAAAGGAAGGGAAACAACTGGGATGTAACTAATAACTATTTCTATATTCTTTGTTACTTTTTTTTTCCTACAGAGACCAGGGAAGAGAAGCAGCACTGCCGAGTCCCGTCTTCAGCCGGGGACGGTGGAGAAGGAACTGAGGGGGGTGCGGGACGCAGGCGGTCAGGAAGATTCCAACGAGAAGGGAGATACCAACTGAGTGCCTGCATCCCGACCAGGCACGGCTACCAAAAATCTCCTGTCAACGGTGCCGGGACGCACCGACACCTAGAGTGGAGCACCCACAGGGACAGCACTTGAAGAAGAACCTAAGGTACAGGATAGGGGGAAACAAATATACTTAACATTAGCACACTGCTTGCCTCTAACTTGTTACACAGTAATTTCCAGTTCCCAAGCTCTGGAATTTCACTCCGACCACTATTCCTATTGCCTGTCTAAAATGATAAGCAATGAAAGAGTGTTGTCATTAGGTTTCAGAGTTAATAATATGCTAAGGTTTTTAGTAGTCCGGCTACAACTTTTTGTAATACTGACCAGGATCGTAATCTTGATGCTCCTTTAAATATTCCAACCTAAAACATATTATAGAGCGATTTACAGTTGTGAATGATTTGACTACAAAACCATGACTGTACCTTTAAAAAGGAGTGGAAGCCAACCCTTTTGTAAAGGTTAACTCCAGGAGGATAGCAGAATGGCTTAGTCAAGGCTCAAAGGGTGCAGCTGATTAGAGTCTTTCCCAATGCTGATCATTTGATAAAATGCATTTGGTTCAGGAGAATCTGAGCTGGTTAATGAACAGTGACAGCTAATTACAAAACAAGGACCAGCTAAAACTGTGATGATTTCACAACCCCTACAGGAGTTTGAGAGTCCTCAGAACCATGGGCCTTCGTCTTGAACTGTGCATACAAAAACTCAAAACACTGATAGTAGAAAGAATCCCTACCCACCATTCGCGGTGTAAAAAGCACATGAAAGGAAAGAATTGTTCTCCACCCATAAAATGCCAGAGCTCCCCTCCTTTTAAGGCCCTGTTCAGTATACCCCTGGGATGATCTATGGAGACGAAGGACAGGCTCAGACCCCAATAGACCATTGTGAAAGAGCCACCTGCCCCATTTAAGAAATGCCAGACTCCTAGGCAAGATTCTGCAGGAAGTGACCAAGTTTAGAGGTACAGAAAGCAAACTGAGTCCATGCAAGCATTTCCTAGTGTAAATATCCTTCAAAAGATATGGTCAAGATATTTTTCACTCAAGTTTTAATAATATATGAAGTTGACATCTGCTTATTTATCAGGGTTTCCATCTAATTTAGGTTTCACAGTAGCAGCTGTGTTAGTCTGTATCCGCAAAAAGAAAAGGAGGACTTGTGGCACCTTAGCGACTAACAAATTTATTTGAGCATAAGCTTTCGTGAGCTACAGCTCACTTCATCGGATGCATTCAGTGGAAAAAAACTGAATTTCCACTGAATGCATCCGATGAAGTGAGCTGTAGCTCACGAAAGCTTATGCTCAGATAAATTTGTTCGTCTCTAAGGTGTCACAAGTCCTCCTTTTCTTTTTGCATCTAATTTAAGTATTTCTAAAGCCCCTATCATCTTGGCATGCAAGGCCCCAAACTGAAAGTTGATGACAACAGTCCCGTTGATTTCTATCGGCGCAGGATGTGGTTAAGTGTGAAACTATCCTGTGTGTTAGAATGCATTCATTATTTATCTGCTGTGTGCACACATGCTTGCTTGTTCTCCCAGGGCTGTATACACTATGGAAAGCCAAGAAAGACCACATGAAGCATTTAGTTAGGAGCAGGAAATGCAAAGAACTATGGTTGCCTGGCAAGCATAAAGAAAATGGTACATTTAATTCTGGGCCTGACATAGTTAATTTCAGCTGTGTAGGATTTGTCTGTGGGTACACAGCTCAGTGAATTCCTCACTTCCAAACAATCTTCCACACCATGCGATGAGCTACGCTGAAAGAAGGGGCCTGCACACTCATGTTCATACTTTTTTACACCGTCAGGTCTGTGCACTTACGTCTTTTCACAGATACATTCCTGTGCACAAACTGGACTAGTACATGGAAGCTTTGAGACCACTTCAGTCATGTCTTTTTAGACTGTAAGCACTTCAGGGCAAAGGACTGTCCCACACTATGTGTCTGTGCAAGACCTAGCCCAGTGGGCCCCTGCTCTTGGTTAGTTAAGACCTCTACATTGCCTGAAAGTACAATGTGAGTATAAGAACTAAAATCCTGTGCTAGAGAGCAGCTTGTGTGTGGTATGATTAATCCTGGTTCAATGGTGCTTTCAAACACTCACTAAAGCAGTGGACAACTGCAGAAATTGCAACTGAAAACTCCACAAAATAAAAATAAAAAATAAAAAAGTGGGGAGAACATGAAGGGGCAGCAGCTGGCATGGGTGTCATTAACAAAAACAGGGGCTAGAAAGAATATGTCAGCGGAAGTGATACGAGAACCAGTGAGCAGTATACTAAAGTCAGTGTTGAGCTGTTGGGACAGGTGGCTCTGAACAGCTTAGAAATAAGTGTCTTGCAGATGAAAGTCAGCGGGAACAGTCAGCCGAAAAAACCATGTGGAAAAAGCTTAAGAATTTGAAGAGAGAGTACCGGAGATAGATGCAGCAAGTTCAGCACCAGATGATGAGTTTATTAAACAGGGCTGGTTCTTCCCTCAGTGTCCTCATGATATGGAGGGAGGAAATATCACAATATTGCCAACCCTAACCATTCAAAACATGAGTTACACCCCCCCCCCTCAAATCACGAAATTGGCTTAAAAATCCTGAGATTTAAAAAAAGTTCTAGGCTCTTTTTCATTTGCCTTCTGGCTTTTGAGCCTGCAGGATGCGGCGTTTCAAGCTGTACTCCACCCATGAGAGCTGAAACCTTGTTTTCCAATGAAAGCACAGCAGGGTCTCACATGACTCCTTGTCAAGTTGTTGAAAATGGACATTTCCCATGGAATTTTCTGTTTTGACATTAAAAACCATTTGCCTTTTAAAAAATGGTTTGACAGCAAAGCTCTTCTGACTCCACGCGTGTATTTAATATGGTTGTGTATTAAATAGAGCTTCATTGCGAACAAGAGCAATGTTTGGAAAACGCTTTGGAAGGTTGGCGTGACAATCATTTCCAGATGGACCAGACCATTTAAAAAGAACAGTGGGCTGGACTGGTCAGTACATTTCCTCCCCCTGCTTCCCCCCGCAGGCTCCACAGCACAGCTCAAATCAGAAAATGAGACACACTGGGATGTTCCCCATAGGTGCACTCAGACTGAAGTTTTATCTCCCTGACCCCCCAGGGCAGGACTAGCTCTCTTCCCCTGCACCTAGCTGCTATATGACCAGGAAGTGCAATAAAAATGTAGGCACAGAGGTGAAGTAAAGGTTTATTAACTACTGGGCGGGTATTTTTCCTTCCTGTTCTTTCTTCCCTTCATGCTTTTAGTATTTGCCTCTCATTTTCTCACCCTTTATCCCTCCCCACGGGTCCCACCCCCAATTTCTTTCCCTCCCCCCACCACATCTCACCTTCTGCAGCACATTCGGACACTAAAGAGATTCTTATTTACACTAAGGCTCCTTTGCACCACTCTGGCAGTAGCAAGCAGCCTTAAAGCAAGTGTAAATGTGAAACACTGCAAAGGGAGCTCAGTGTAAGTAAAGGAGAACCAGGCCCAGGAAGCTGGACTGCTTTCTTGTAACCACACCCCTGTCTGATTTCCTTCTCGTCATACCCAGCCTAGAGTCGGGCAACAAACAAAGGAAGCACGTTCCTATATGCTCCCAGTCAGCCCTGAGCTATTAGCTGCATCCTCCTCTCCTCTTACTGCCACCCGAGTCTATGGGTTGGGCTTGGCTCTGATGCTCACTGACCATGGTAGGGAGGCCTTTTGTCTGGCTTAAGCCAGACTGGACTGGTTTTGTGGAGCACTGGCCCTGTCCAGGAGGGACTTAGCACCAGACGTGGCTTTGATGCAGGAGGATGCAACGGGGAAGGCGACTCAGTGTGGAGTGACAGAGGCAGGGGCCGGCCGATGGGAGCAGGCCCCATGCAGGTGGGAGCAGGGATGTCTTGTACTCTGGGGATGCACCAGTGTCCACCTTCGATCCTGGGAAGGTCTGGGTCTAATATACCATGATAGCCTCCCTGTTGCTATTAGGGTGACCAGATGTCCTGATTTTATAGGGACAGGCCTGATTTTTGGGTCTTTTTCTTATATGGGCTCCTATAACCCCCCACCCCCTGTCCCGATTTTTCACACTTGCTGTCTGGTCACCCTAGCTGCTATCCACATTCAGGCCCCTAAGCTCTGGCTGTCCCAGCACTGGCCTTCCAGTAGAACCGGTTCTCTGCTGGGAAAAGGAAACCTGATGTGGAGGCAGTACCAGCCTCTGGCCTACTTTGCTGCAGTTCTCTTGAGGCCACCCCTGCTTTTGTGCTAGAAATTATGCCAGAAGAGCAGAAGCCAACCTGGGAGAGGCAGCAGGGGCGGTCCAGGGCAGTGTTCTGGGACTTAACATGTGGCCTAAAGGTCAAAATTTCAGTCTTGCTGTGGGATTTGTCCCAACTCAGCTAAAAAGGGGAAGCTGCAAATCCAAGATCAGTTGGTGCTTCTGCTACATTGAAGCACACAGAGCCTTTGTTCCGTTATTGACACACTAAAGGAGTGCTAGGGCTCCTTTCTCGCTCTGTATCCTCTGCCGCCTCAGGAAAAGTAGTTCCCACGGCTAGCTGGTGTGGCAGGCGCTATTTTGGTTTTGTCAGGCTGTTTGAATTAAAGTGATGAAAGTTAAGACAAACCGAGGCTCAGACTTCTGGATTGTGAGGAAGGGAAAAGGCAGAACACTCAGCAGGGGAGAGACCATGGTGTGGCTTTCAGCCATTGCCTCAGAGACGTGGGGAAGTAGGACTCTAAAGGAATTGCGACCTGTGTCGTGAGGGGGTAGGAGGCCAGAGATGTGGTCTCTAGCAGCACAGCACGGCAGGTACTAGGCCTGAACAGGCTGCAGAGGTAGGCCCAAGAGAGGAAGTGATGGGAAAAGAAAGCAAAACCTAAGCTGGATGGAAACAGCAGCTGCAGCTTCTCTCCCCCTCCTAAAAAGTTTTGCACACTCCACCCCTCTGTCCCTGGTTTATATTTATGCTGCTGCTCTGTGTACAGGCTGGATGGTGTAATCTCATACAGTTGCAAGCCACGCTAATACATTCCAAAGGATAATGCTGTAATGTTTTAAACTCAATAGCCTTTTATGGGGTACAATAGCAGACTGTGTAATGTACATATATACACTGGATGTAGTTAAAACTCACTGGAGTCACAAAGTGTCCCAAAATGCACCAAATCCTACAAACATCTGAACAAAATCCAAGGCCACATGTACATAGAGGTATGTTTCAAGGACTACAGATCATGATGACGTAAATAATGAAGCGTGGTGGTGTAACGTGGACTTTATCCTTAATAGAGATAAGTGGTTAAAAAACACAACCCCTTCCGTTACCTCTAGAAGAGTAAGGGCTAGTCTACCCTACATAGGCTCTCCCACTACAGCTATACTGATATATCCCCTTAGTGTAGACACAGTATATACGGACAGAGAGTTTTCCTGGTCATTTAGCAATACCCCTCCCTAAAGGACATTTAAAAAATATATATATATGGAGATATACCTATCTCATAGAACTAGAAGGGACCTCATCAAGCCTAGTCCCCTGCCTTCACAGCAGGACCAAGTACTGTCCCTTATTTTTGCCCCAGATCCCTAAATGGCCCCCTCAAGGATTGAAGTGACAACGCTGGATTTAGCAGGCCAACGCTCAAACCACTGAGCTGTCCCTCCCCCAAGGACATCAACACCACCGAGAGAACCACTCTGTTGTGGCATCCCAATAATTTGAAGACCATCCTGCATTTGTCAGTATAGCTGTGTCTACACTGGCGGTTTTGCCAGCATAGTTACATCAGCGAGGGGGTGTGATTTTTTCACTCCTCTGACCAACATGGCTGTATCAACAACTTTGTAGCGTAGACCTGGCCTAAGACTGTGCTTTAGAGACTTGACAGTTTCAAAGCAAGCATGTGATCACAGGAAAATGTATCTCTGTGTAAAACACTTTGGTGCTCAAGTTTTTTCTAGAGCTGCTGCACTAGGAGAGAGAACAAATCTGACTCTGCATTCCAGACTAGAGTGATTTAAGGCTTCTTAATTAGCATATTTAAAAAATATATTGAACTCAAGGACCCAATGCTGCTCCCAGAACTACTGCTGTAGATCTGAGGCAATATTATTGGGGGGAGGGAGGGAATTCGATGAGTAACTCTGGATTTATTCTGTGCAACACTGATTGATTCAGAATAGTTTGCCTGCTGTAATAGAAAGGCACTTCTAGAGTGCCCCACACTAGAGTAGTGAGGTTAGTGTTTTCAGAATATTGTACAGTTTTTTTATTAATACTTCGAATGTCTTAGTGTGATTGAGTAAAGACACTAACTTTATCCACACATTTTGGGGGACTGCTGGCAATCGAAGTGTGACAGTTAGGGAAGGGCAGTGTTTGATTATCACATTCACCCTGTTGCAGAGCTACAGGCCTGATGATAAAATACTTTTAGTTTCCTTTCGGCACAGGATGAAAAGGGGCATTAACGACCTGTGCATAAATGAGCAATAATTTGCTGACTCAAGCTCAAAGCTCACCTTTTAGTTTAGCCTGTAGTAGAGATTTTACATTCACACCAACAGAGACAGCGTGCTATATGAATTTGGACTCTCGCTCTTTGAAAGTCTGCATGGCATTTTGTGGGTCTTGCCGTTGGTTTTAGAAGCAAGTGAGTGTTTTTGATTTGTGCACCGTATTGTCCCAATTAAGAGTTACAACACACTCATTACATTTTCCTAATAATTTGATACATTAAATCAAGTCCCATTAACTGCCTGCTTCACATGCCGAGGTTTCAGAAAATATGTTTAACTCATTTTGCTCTCCTGGGAAGTTCTTTGCTCAGTTGCCCTCATGAAAGAGGAACAACAACAACTGAACAGTTCATACTAATGTATTTACAGGGCTATACTGACATGGAATTATGTTCCATCAGAAGAGACGTGTCTGGTATGCAGAGTTCAGCAGTCACTTCAGTTCCCAGGCTTTGATCCACTGAGTTGGAAAAGATTACAAGTTTGAAATATTGGAAGAGCTTGTCTAGTCCTGATTAATTCCACAATAAGAGCATCATGGAAGTGGATTAAAATAATTTGGAAAAAGGCACTCTTATTGTGGAATAAGAGCGTCCACACGTGGAGTTAATCAGGAACAGTTAATTCACTTTTAAATTCACAACCTATTTTATTCTGGATTAATTTCCCCATGTGTAGTTTTCCTAAGGGAAATTTTTACTCAAATATTGTGTGTGTTTGTAATTTAGTCATCTAGCCCAGTTAAGACCTGGAAAATCCAGGAAAGCAAACTCAAAATGATATAAAACGGTTAAAACTCTGTTTGGATTCGTTAGCTCTTTGAAAACTCAAACAGTAATTTATATAAAGTGACTGCTACAGTTACAATGGCATAATATTCTCATTTTGAGGCACAGAGGGGAAGGTGCACAAACCCTTGCAGACAGAGATAAGACTGCCCCCCCTGAATTGTTGAAATTAATTCCCTGCATGTTGAGACTAGCAAGATAAAAATATGCCTTTGTAACAGACTAAAGCCACAAAGGAGAGAAGGTGAATATTAACAAAATACAACTGTCACCAGATTGTCACATAAAAAGGTAGGACATGCATGTTCAAAGACTGAAACCGACATATCAGAAGATTTGCAATTAATGGTACAGTATGAATCCTGACATGTCAGTAGAGATCATTCAAGAGCTCCCTCTTAGGGATATGAGGCAGTATACGTGGCACGTAGATTACCTTGCAAAGATCTGTAGCCTTTCAATATTTCCTATGCTGTGTTGTACATAACCTGCCGAACAAAGTTCTAGTATTGATAAAGAACCTCTTTTCACTTCCCCCTATCTGCTGTTTTTCTCAATGGCAATAAATTGTAGTCTAGATTGAGCAAGTATATTTAAAAACTATCGGTAGCTGGGTTATCCTGTGACACAAGAGACAGCATAGATATCCATAGGGCCTACCTCACGGTTACATTTTTGACTTACCGTCAAAATTCTTTCACTGCACATATTAGAACGCACGACTTAGTTAAAAACGAGCTGCACAAAGAGTTAAGAACAGACAGCGGCACGGACAGTGCGACCTGCAGAGAGCATTCGGCGAGTGGCACTGCTTCAGCTTCGGATGAGGGTTAAGAACTCTTCCCGAGTCTTTGCATCCTCCCGGAATACACCCAACATTGTGCTCGTGACCGTTTTACTGTTCATCTTCTGCACCCCGCGCATTACCATGCACATGTGTCTAGAAGAAAGAAAAGGGGAAGAGGGGAAATCAGGCAGGCTTGAGCATTGCTATGAGAAGCAGGGGACAATCATTTCCCAGTGCTAGGTTTAAATTGCAAGCATTTCAGATAATCCACTTAAGGCAGAGTCTGGGAAAAGGCCCAAGGCTGGAATTTTCAAAGGAGCTCCTGATCCCTGTCAGTGGCACTGGCGTTCCTAATTCTTAGGAGCCTTCTGAAAACCTCACCTAAAGTGCTGTGTGTTCATGCTAGGCCGATCACACCAAAATGTTTGTTTCTAGATTGGAGCCAAGATCTGCTACTGGAAGTCTTCAGCATGTAATGATGACAGAAAATTAGTCATCACAATGGATCCATGTTTAAGGATCTATTTTGAATTGCTGGCTAAGCGATCAGCTGCCACCATGAGGTAAGGTAACAAGGACCCCCCCCCCAGTTCAAAGGCTCCAATCCACTACCATGGCATGCTGACTGGCCGGGAGGTACTCCTGCATTATAGCACATTGGCCAAACTGTTATATGGCTCCATTGTACGCGTGGGGCATGATATGCTAGCTGTAGGAGTGAGAGAGGCAACGCACGAGGAATACATTTTGGCAGGTTGCCGTGTATCCTCCTTGCCGGGGCAATACCCAGCACCATTATGTTACTACAGAGAACAGCAGTGTATATGGTCACTTACGTCGCTTCAATAACCACTCCAACTCCAGTAGGCTGCAAGGCTTCTGTGATGGCGACTGCAATTTGTTTTGTAAGGCGCTCCTGAACTGTAGAGACAACAGGGAGTTCAGAGGCAGACACAGAAACAATAGCCGTGTGTGGCTGTATCTCATGGAGAGGAAAAGTGACACTATTCAACAGCATATTCCTGTTTCCAAGAGGAACTGCCCTCAAACTCTGTACTTCCTGGATATGTAGCTTGGGGGAATGTTAGTGCAGGCTTCTCTCACATAGTTGGGTATGGGAAGCCTTATTTTTTACTTTCATACGTGCATGCAGGAGTCTGTATGTAGCGCCATGACTTATGCAAAATCTGCACACTCCATTAAGTTTGGTTTTCTTGCACAGTGGTTTTCACATGTTCATTTCTTTGACATAGGGCAAGATATCTGTGGTTTTCCTTTTGTGTGTTAAGGAATTTTTTAAGCGTGCAAGTTAAAGCTTTGCAGAATAGTGACGTGCCACAATCTCCTGCAGTCTAGAGTTCTTGTGTCCTATATTCACCTGGTGCTGCCATGCTGGCCCCTGCTGCCTATAAAACCATCTTGAGAACTTTGCCACCAAGAATAGGTCAAGTCTAGTCACAGAACAGTGAGTCAGGAGAGCTCAGGCTGAACCCAACCCGACCTGCATCCACAGCCAAGAGCAGTTCTCCTCCTCCTCCTGTAGTGGTTTTAGGACCAAAACATAGTGGGGCAATTGGGATAAAAAGACCATCATGAGACAAGAAGGGGAACAGGAAAGATAGAAACATCTAATGAGAATTACGAAGGCTGAAAATACAGCCCTTGTGAGCAACCTCAGTTTCTTTAGTAGCTGTGTGGTTCTTAGAAGTGCCTGGGAATGTGGCTCATCTCTGAGGATGGCTATTGTCCTTTGCCCATGTTTCATCCTGGCTTGGGTATTTCTTTTAGGATTCAACATACAGTATCTTCAGTACCACAACGGCTCTTGAATTCCACCTCCTGGAGCCACCCCTCTGGACAGCAGGACAGCCCCCAAACTGCCAGTGACCTCACTTGGTCCCGGCAGCTCTACTTTAACCAGCACCTTTCCCTTGAGTTGGTCTCATAGCCGGAGTCAGTTTTCATGGGGAGACTCTGCTTTTCAGGATAACGGCAAGTTAGAAAACACAGGACAGGACTTGAAATGCCTGGATCATGACTCCCATTGAAAATCTGCCCAGATACAGCCCTGCTGTAGTGATCTGCCTATGGGACATACCCTGGCCTGCTTCCCCCCCGAAAGTGATGACGTATGTGGTAGTGTTCTCTGTAAGAATAAAAGAGTCTATTTACCCTGTAGTCTTCTACTGTATATCTCCACAATCCTAGAAAGAAACAAAATCTTGGTTATTGTGTAAGCCATGTGCCTAATAGGGAGATCTCTCTTTAAGAGACCCATTGGGCGGAGGTTGCCGTGAGTTGTGTCTGGGTCATTGTTGCTAGGCAGATTAAGCACTCCACATCTAGAAGCTTCTGGAATTGGGTGTGGCAGTTTTGGGTCTGCTCCAATGTGTTCCCTGTTGCCAGGGTCAGACTCCCTGTGGGCAAGTGGTCGGCTTAGCTGCTTTGCAAAAGGCCATGTGCCCTGTGTGAGTTGGGAGAAGCTGAGCCCAGGAGCAGGAAGCAGGCTGTTGTCCTGAACTCTGAAACATTTTGCAGCAGGTTAGTATATTGTGAACCCTCTGACAGGGAAGCCTGGTAATGCTAATGATAGCCAGGGGAAATTGGAAGGGAAAAATAACTTCTATTTTAAGTGTATGCTTTGAATGTTTTGATTTTAGCCAAACTGTTCTAGTTAAATTGTCTCCACTCATCTGAGTCACCAACTTTGCTTTAAGTGTAGCCATGGGGAAAGAGTCATTTCTATTTTGCTGGTCTCGGTTTTGTACTTTCTTGTAACAGGGTTTTCTTTAAATCTATACACTTAACTGAGTGGTTGGTTAATGAGTTAGCGGACTGGCTAGCAGTGATTTCGGCAGAGGAAGAGTCTGCGTGGATTCCAACTAGGGTGACCAGATGTCCCGATTTTATAGGGACAGTCCCGATTTTTGGGTCTTTTTCTTATATAGGCTCCTATTACCCCCCACTTCCTGTCCCGATTTTTCACATTTGCTGTCTGGTCACCCTAATTCTGACTACAAGCAAGTGGAGGGAAGATGTTGTTTTAGACTCAGAAGACTGTATAGATTTGGTGATCAAAGACTCAGACTTAGGTGAACAAAACCTAAGCTTTTGGGAACTCTCAGTTTCTTCTCCCTGTATTTCTGTGGGGCCTGACCTGTTCAAATTTTAATTTGTTTTCTTTATTTATGTTTATGTATAACTGTGAAGGTAAAGTCTGTGGGTTATAAAATAGCCATGTCATGCTGTAAAAATTATATTATTTGTTTCTTTATCATAAGATTTTATAAAGTTATTTAATTAAATTAATTTCTTTAGTTCCTTTTGGGACTTGAATGTGGTCTGGTTGACCCTGTGCAATCCTTGCTGAAAATCCTTACAGACTGAACTCTGGGTCTCCAGCTACTTTCTATGGGAGTTGGAGTTTTTTTTAAAGGCACTGGAGACCAGAAATGAAGTGAACTCTAGCCCATCCAAAGGTTACAATTGCACCTCCTACGTGAGGATTTAACAGTGGTCACACAGTGAACATTTAAGCGTGTAAAAAGCCATGCTAATGATCTGCCCCAGTGTCTGCTGGGAAAGCAAATCCTCATGGCAGCTTAGCATCTGGCCTGCATTTCTTAAATGACAAGGTTGTTTACAGCAGCTGATCACTCTCCCAGCCTGCAACAGGATACAGCAGCAGATGTATCATCCTTCCTGGTGTAACAAACTGTGGTCTCTTCCAGCTCCCCGTGGCTTTTCGTTTGGCTGTTGCTTTTGAAGGGCCTGGTCTGTGACCCATTAGTTCTGTAGCATCCTTTACAATAGCTTTATTTGGGGATTTTGCAATGGAGTCAGGCATCAAACGAAGGCTCCCCAAGGCTGTTCCTGGAAGCTACAACACACTGTACCTTAAAGTTTCAGAGTAACAGCCGTGTTAGTCTGCATTCACAAAAAGAAAAGGAGTACTTGTGGCACCTTAGAGACTAACCAATTTATTTGAGCAAAAGCTTTCATGAGTGAGCTGTAGCTCACGAAAGCTTACGCTCAAATAAATTGGTTAGTCTCTAAGGTGCCACAAGTACTCCTTTTCTTTTTGTACCTTCAAGGCTATAGACTGGGCCCATCTGAACTTCAAGGCAACAGGTGTTTGATATTGGGATTGGTTTTGGTACTGGTACTTTTAACCCAAGAGATATGCTCCAAGGGCCATGCTGATAACCACCACTATTTAATTAAAAAAATAAATACAGGGATCTTAATACTGCTTTTCAATTGGACTGCAGATTTAACCCACTTCTGGTACAGTGTTATCATGCAGGCAGTGGGGTGGTGCATCAATAGAATACTGTAATCTATACATTTAGAGAGACAAAACTTCAACATGGTGAAGGAGTAGTTATGTATGCAAATCCTGAATGCTTAATAAGATAGCCCATTGGCTATGTCAAGAAGCTTCTGTACAAGGCTTTTATATTGGTCTTGTCAGTCTAGACAGAAACCAGACACACATTGCCCTGCCTAGGCCATTAATTAGACACTTGTGAAAAAGCAAGAGAGCATCATTTTCAGAGGAAGGGTTTTCACAAAATAAGCCCCTTTACTGAAGAGCAAGGGGTGTGTTACCAGTCAGTTTACAGAAAGTAGCACCAACACCGATAGGAAATATTGAAAAACAAATGTAAAAAAAATTGATATTGACAAATATTCTTAGCCTTCGACTAGAAGAGGATCTGAAAGTACATTTATATTTGTAACAGGATTATTTGCAAGCCATGTTTTTAAAATCCAGAGAAAGGTGTTTGTTTACTGAACACAGGTCATCCTTGACTATACAAACTCATTAGACTAATCCTATTAGTATAGATTAGACCCACAGCACCAGCAGCCTCACAAATCTTCATTTGAGCCCTAGGTTGCATTAAATAGGGCAAGGAAGGGATATACTGTTTGGTCATCCAGTCTGTTTTTTACCACAGGTTTTGAAAACAAATTAGGACTCTGAATAATATTTTGCAATCTAAGAGCCTGATCTTTTGCCATTGAAAATGATGGGGATTTCACACTGACTTCCTAAGGACAGGATCAGAGCCTGAAATCATACAACAGGTCAATATTACAAACCCCACAGTGTGATTCTATACCAATTGCTAAGAGAGATGGGAAGAAAATTATACACTTTTAGCACTGTATTGCCATCTCTATTAAGAGCCATGCAAGACAAGTGATTCTTAAATTGATAGTTCCTTTGTACCACTGGTTTCAGAGTAGCAGCTGTGTTAGTCTGTATTTGCAAAAAGAAAAGGAGTACTTATGGCACCTTAGAGACTAACAAATTTATTTCAGCATAAGCTTTCATGAGCTGTAGCTTATGCTCAAATAAATTGTTAGTCTCTAAGGTGCCACAAGTCCCCCTTTTCCTTTGTACCACTGCAATTCAGAGACAATTGCAGACAAATGTAAACTCAATCCAATTGATTTATATTTCAGTTGTGATCCTGAGCAGTTTGAAAATGTCAAAAATTAAAGCCCTTCGATAAATAAAGGTCTGTAAAATGTTAGAGAATACTTTTAGTAAGAACAGTCACCTTCAGAAACCCTAATCAAAAACAACAACAAACAAGTTATTCTTGAAGTTCCAGCCACAAGAGTGCTGATCAACAGAAGAGATGAATCATGAAATGCCACTCATCAGAAAGGTTTCTAGTACTAAGTGGCAATGAAAGAAAAACAAAATTGTATGCCACAAGCTTTTGTCCAGGTAAACAGAAAGATACAGGGTGGAGATGCTGAAAATAGCTCAACAAATTCTCATCCTGCATTTCTACAATGCATGCTACATACAGACACGCAGAGTTTTGTGCCAATGAAATACAACACAATTTCCAGAGTCTTTTGAACAGTCTGCCTGAGCCGGTTACTTAGGGCAAAGTTCAGCTTTTCTAGCTGCCAGACCATGTGAGATAGAACGTGTGGACTGATGAGCACCCTGCAATCTGAGGTTATTTTAACAAAGATTGCTTGTTCATGGTATAAGGGTCTCTCTCCAGCTCTGAATCAGATTCATTCTTACGCAAACAAAGTGCAAAATGGGATCAGCTGCATTTAAAGTGCTTTAGTGGCATATTTGACCCACTCCCTCCCTGCTAAGAAAACCCAGCATGCCTGCTGATTTACAAGTTTAACTCTCATTATTGCTATTGGGAGCTACAGAGGATTTACACATGTATCAGAAGGAGAATAAATGAACTCCTACATAGTCTTTCCAAACAACAGCCAACTTCTTCAGAGTTTTTTTTCAGAAGAGAACCTTCTATTATTGTCTCCACTAAAGGGCATATTTGCTACATTATCACTCCATAAATGCCACTTTTGCTACAACTGATTCAGCACAGCACTTGACATAAGGCCACATGCTGGGGGAAAGCTTTTTATGCGACAACAAATAGGTTTCTGAAATGCATCATAATTACTTTGGTCCCTAATCTGAAATTCATCCATAAAATCCATCTCTAGGCTTGTTCACTGCAGGTTATAGTGAAACAAAAATGTCAGATTTAATTGAAGAGTCAACTGATGTAGATATGAAAGTCTTAGATTCAAATCATGAACATAATCCAGAAAGAGTTAGTTTTAAATCACGTTTGTTTACCATTCACAAGTTCTGGAGTTTGACCGTATAATGCAGTGTCCAAGCAAACAGATAATCAACTTTAGTGGGCTTATTTGCCTGCCTTCCAAAGACTGGTGCTCCCTAAAATAATCACTTGCCATCACTTTTGCACAGTAGAACCTCAAGAGGTATTAACATATTGAGAATGGAGGTTGTTCGTAACTCTGAACAAAACATTATGGTTGTTCTTTCAAAGGTTTACAGCCAATGAACACTGACGTAATACAGCTTGGAAATTTTACTATGCAGAAGAAAAATGCTGCTTTCCTCCTTTTTTCCCTTTTTTTTTTTAAAAGTAGTTTATGGTTAACACAGTACTGTACTTGCCCCTTTTTGGTTGGGGGTTTTTGGGGTTTTTTTTTTTGGTCTCTGCTACTGCCTGATTGTGTACTTAACGGTTCTAAGTGAGGTGTGTGGTTCACTGGTCCGTTCGTAACTCTGAGGTTCTTCGTATATCCTATACACCAGTGTTTTTGAATAGTCTTCAGCAAAATTATGAATCTGTCCCCAATCTGCACACTCTCAAGGTGTGGTTTAAAGTAATAAGGAGTTGCAATTTAGCTTTTGTTTTCCAGTAGTCTTAACGAGAAGGACTGCTGTAAACCCAAATCCAGAACATGAGATATTGCTACCGTCTGCTGTACTTTAGAAGGGGACCAGATTACAGATCAGCACACTTAACACAGTCTGGAATCCTTTTTACAAATTAGCATCGCTTTCATTAAATTAGCACTTACCTAGCAAGCTTGCTGAGACCAAGGACTTGTTTGTTAGGAAGATAACCTATATGTACCTAGAGAAAGGGGAACAAACCATTAACTGGATCAAAATACTCTTCAAGACAGCTTTAACACTCACGCATACTTTCTGAAATATTCATTTGCCTCATCTCAAACTTTTAGACCCACTCCTGTTTCAAATCCAGAATCTTTAGCATAGGGTGAGGACATGCGACCATGCAAGTCTGAAAGATTAAAGAGCAAGCAGAGACTGAGAGTGCTGGTGAGTTCAGTATCTTTTTTTAAAGTAGGTAAGTACTTTGGAAGAAATCACAACTTATACACCAAGTGTCAGGATGGCTTACACACTAACATGCAGAATTTAAGTCAGGTGCAACAGAGAGATTGTTTTAGCATTACTCAGCACAGAAAAGTTAAGCTAAAATAAATGCAGCCTTCTTTCAATGAATTAAAAAAATATATATATCTTTTGAAGAAAAAACTATCCTTTTTCCTTTAGCTGGAAAGCTCATATGGGAAGAAGCGCTTAGTGTGCAAACTGAAATGCACTTGAAAAAAAGAATTAAGGGACAACTCTTGGGACACTGATACTGCAGAAGACCAATGAAATTAAAGCCATCCTCCATCCTGTTCAAATATGCATTTATTGTCTGAGCATTCATGTTTAATAGGTAAATAGACAATATTGAAACAGTAGAGTTCTCATTATTAAAGACTGTCCTAAAAGCAGTGACAAATTTTTCAGATTTGTGCTGAGAAAACATGTGTTCAGAGTTGTGAAAGAAGCTAACGTATTAAAGTGGATTTATAGTTAGAGCAGATTACAATGGCACACCAATGGGTCATCTGTAGCAAAGGATGCATTTGCCAAGATAGAGCAGTCGGAAAGGGTCAGTGTAGGGTCAAAATTTTGTATAATTTTGCCTGGAAGTCTGGTCTTTCAGAATCCTATTTTGCTGTACCTGTGGCTATAGGTATCATAATACCACCTAATTACCTGGCTAATTTGATCAGTCCTATCACTTTTCTGTTGGGTAATCAACCAACTGATACCTGAAAGACACGAAACATTTCAGATCAAAGTAAGAGACATGGTTTTGCAGTAGTTAATTGAAAACAAGCAATGACTTTTGTTGCCTGGAGAGAACAGCTTAACTGTGAATTTTCAGACAGAGCTACAAATACATCATTTGTTGAAGAGCATTTGCAGCATGTTTGATGTACCCAACAGGAGAATGGCTAGTCTAACAATCCTTAGAAGCACACCAAGTCATTTAGCTAATCTTCTGTGACAATCAAGGTCCAGACACCCCAAGGGGAGAGAACATAGCAAAAGGACTGGTTCGGTGTTTGGGATTTCTCCAACCCACACAGGCTAAACTTCTAGATGTACAAATAATTTACAGAATGCCCGAGAATAATGAGAAAGAAGCACATACATCCTACACAGTAACCAAAGTATAGGCAAATAGAAAGCCAGAACAGAAAGGAGACTCTTACTTTCCAGAATTAAATACCAGCAATATAGCAGAGTGGGGGGAGGAGACAAGAATGAGATGGCACCCTCTAGGAGACATACATAACTGGGCTTCTCTGCAGGTATTTTAATTTTCCAAGAAAATATATTTGGGAACACAAATGGCATGGATAGAATTTTACAGGCTATGGGAACACCTGCATCTCTACAGCTCAAGTGTGCTTCATGGGGAGACACTGCAGTGCAGATGCTCCATCCTCCGGTACTTCTGGAGCTGACATGGGCATCAAATGTAGCAGCACAGAGACCAAGATCTTTAGACAGAAGGCCTCAGTTTTGAAGTGTCCAACTTGAGACCTTTTAAAAGAGTCCTGATTTTCAAAGGGTGGGTGCTCAGCACTGTCTGGAATTGAGGCCTCGTTAGGCTGTCACAGTTTGGGCATCTAAAATCACTAGTCACTCTTGGAAATCTAGGCCCGACTATTCATTTAAAAGAGCACACTAATCCAAGGTTTGCAGAGTCTGCAGCGGTAACTGACGAAAATGCACCAGCTGGCTTTTCAAATCGTTACTGTAATCTGTTACGCATCAAAGCCGATGTCTGAGGTGCATTGGTTTAATATCAAGATGTCTGCCCTGAAGGCTTGCTGCTGCTTCATGAAGAGCTTCGATATAAAACGTCGGAAACTATTAGACTGATAAAGGTTGAGCACTATATGCTAGGGTCTTAAATCATATAAAACTTGCATAAAGGTGATCTTCAGAATTTGTATTTTGAAGATTGCTATGATTCTAGATAGTAAGTGGCTGCATATAGTTACAGCTTAAAAAAAAAGACAGTAACTAGAAACACACATGAATGAGAGATTTAAATTATAGTTTACACTGCAGTATCTGTTTTGTGAGGTAGTTACCTTTCCAACGAATGGAACCAGGTGATGTTCACACAATGAGAACATGTCTATGTCCTTTACAATTACCATCTCATCATGATCTTCATCAAATATGGCATCATTCAGGACATCTGGAATTAAATGTTTGCAGGAGATTATATATAAATTATTCACAACATGCAAAATATGGGGAATTCTAGGTTTTCTGACCCCTTTCACCAGGAACACCTTAGCCAAACAAGCTCTTGGCAATTCTTAAGACTATGGAATGTAGGCCCTGAATTGCATCCATTAAGCATAGACTAAGGATCCAGTTTGATTGGTACAGGGTCACTTGTCCTATAACTGCAACAGTGCAGTGTCAGACTTCACAGACACAATTTGTCTTTAATAAGAGTCATTAATGATAAACTAATTTGTTCAGAGGACAAAACACATCCACTGGTTGGTGGGAATGAGAAAAGAAACCTAGAATGTAAAGACTAGGGTATGTGTACATGGCAACTGGAGGTGTGACTGTAGCATGTGTAGACGTCACAAGCTAGCTTTGATCTAGCGAACTCCAATAACAGCATGGAAGCTGTGGCAATGCAGGCTGTACAAGCCCACTCCGGACGCTAGGTAGGTATCCAAGCCTGCGCTGCCATGGCTTCACTGCTATTGTTATTTGAGCTAGATCAAAGCTAGCTTGGGTATGTCTACATACGTTGCAGTCATACCTCCGATGGGTGTGTTGACATATTGTATGTCTATTGCAATCAATACTGAAGAAGGCACAGTTCTAAGGATCCTCTCATGTTGTATAGGCTCCTGCATGCACCACTTTGTGAGGTCAAACTGGTCTAGGGTTCAGAGGAGAGGCAAAGGGTCTCCATATGTTTGAAAAGCATCACCAAAAGGGCAAGGTGAGGAGAAAGGCAATTAAACACACCAAGGCATCTTCTAGGTCAGTTTTCACAGTCTGACAAGATACTTCCTCCTTCCCAAGTTTCATCATGTGCCCTGCAACAGAGTTAGGCCTCTATAAAGGCAGCAGCTGCTTAGAATGTCCCGAGCTCGTTCTCAGTGCCTTAGCAAGATCAGTACTGGGTTTATAGTTCTATGAGAAACTGACAGTCTTGCCTATCTGGCTTCTTATGCTCTCCCAGAAGATGTATTGCATGGGGCAGAGCCAACAGGCTTACAGATGGATACCCCAACTTAGCTGCGCATCCCATCCCCAAAGATAAGGGGTGTTACCTTTTTTTTTTTAATGGGGAAATCCAAGCAGGTGGCGGGAAGACAAATACTTGGCTCTTCTAGTTCCAAATGGGCACCGTTTGAATGCTATGCCTGGTGACTTTGCTGTTTGCAGTGGAGAGTGGTGCCCTGAGTCTCAGTCTACTTCTGGTTTAAGTAATCTCATGCCAACTCCCCAAGTTGTTCCCAGGAGCATGCCCTGCTACATAGGGTCATGCAGGGCGCTGCTGTTTCTAGGAGTGTTCTGAAAAGCCAGATTGTTTGGAGACGTTAAAGGGATGCTAAGAAAAGGCCCCGAGGTAAGAGTAGACAGCGCCTTTCAATCAGGAGCGAAGCGGAGTTCAGTGAAGTGAATTTCAGAGGCAGTAATTTGTTCTGCTCATGCCAGGGAGAACTTTGCCAGACACTCCAGCAGCAACCTCCAGCTTCTAAATAAGAAGAGGGCTAAGCTAACAATTAAATGGGATATATGGCCAGTTCAATGGCAATAACTCATCTAATTGCTAACATGCACACCATTTGTGGGCCTCCATGCAGGTTAACACTAAGCATTTAGTAGGGCCCCATGTAACTTCTAGACCATACCATAAAAAGAGCAAGTCTAATAGAAGAACAAAAGGTGTCCAGTGACCGTTGTACTTCATTAAAAGCTTTGCTTTCGTATTCAAGTGACTCAGTGGTTAATGTACAAATTCAACAATTGCGCCTGCTGCATTTGCTTTTATGCCTTCCTTGGACACTCATATCCCAACAGCTGCCATCTGTTGCCAATAACATATTGCCATCACAGATTGTTTTAATTTCCTGCATGCTATCAGCGGTACACAGGTAACCCTGGAAACCAGCATTTGCGATATTCTGCTGTTTCTCTGTGTTCATTACCAAGAATGGCTAGTGACCTGGAAAGCAGTGAGCTGGAACTTTGGAAAGTCACATATCCAGGGCAGGGTATAAACGGAGCGGCGGGGGAGGGTTGGGGGGGGCACAGAAAAAGCTGGGGACCATTTTTACAGTGGCACGTCTGTTTCTCTACAATCTTTCTAAGCCATGTCCCCTTCCCATAGTCACTCTGGCAGCGGAGAGGGAGGAAGGATGGTAGGGAGTGGGGGGGGGGGGGCACACTTCCTAAGGATAGGGGTTTCCCCACTAGAGGTGACAGCAGCAGGAGCAGGTGATGGAAAGACAGCAAAGCTGAGAGGGGACAGTGCTCAGATCCCAGCAGCAGGGGCGGTCGGGGTGACATTGCTCAGGTGTGCACTCCTGTGCTCAGAGAAGTGTCCATGCAGCATGTGCCAGGAAATGTAATTTAGGACACTGCTCCGTGAAGTACCGGCAGGCCCACTCTACTTGCCAGCTGGAGAAGTATGCTATCTGGCACATTCCCGAGACTGGCCTACTCAACAAACACCCAGTGACCCTAATCCCAGCAGTGCTCTCTCTAGAGGTCAACTGAACAGGTTTGGTCCCACTGCAGTTACCACAACATGAATACCTGGCTAGTCTAGGGAACAGAGTGAGTGATAGGACAGAAGATAGGATACAGCATCCACGAGGAGTGAGGGAAGCTCTCCACACCTATGGAGATGGGGAGGGGGGAGGAGGCGTGTGGAAGAGGAGGGGCCCATCGACCCGTTTACTTTCCCCATTTCTTTCTGCACCAAGATCATATTCCTTGTCCACCCCTTCAAGGTGCTACACAGCTCCACTGCAGCCCTTGGCGGCTCTCCTTCTAAATGCCCTAGGCTCTGTTTATGCTTTGATGAGTCCTGTGCTCGAGCCAACTAGGGGATTGAGCAGCATGGCTCCTATTCATGTCAATGGCCCTCAAATGGCTCCATCCCCACCTTTGTCTTCGCCTACCAAAGCCTTCATGCCTTCCTTGCTTTGCTCCCTGTTTCTGACAGCCTCCCTCCGCTAGCAAGTCAAGCATCTGACCTCCCCTCCTGTATACCCATTGTCTGCCTTCAGATGCTGTGCAAGGCTACTGGGAAGAAGCGCCTCCACCCCATGAGGCCTCCTGCTGCACCAAAGCAAAACACAGAATGAATCCACCCCCCACCTCTGTCTGTCCTTTGTTGCACGTGTCTAATTTACACTAAGCACCTCATGGGAGAGCCGGTGTGGTTTTGCTGACAGGTAAAGCGCCATGCACTCTTACTCCTGCCCTTGCTCGGGGTATACCAAGCATCAGAGGGCTAAAGGGAAAGGTGCTGGAGTACTGTAAGCTCCAAGTGGACAATATCCAGTGTCAAAGCAGGTTAACGGGGAGGAGACGATGGAATGGCAACAAGGTCTCTAGAGCATCATGGGTCCGGAGGTTCTATGAAGGACACAACTTTCAACAAACAGCAAAATTTACAGAGCTCATCACTGCATGGGACGTGGTATATAAAACCTAAACGTGATAGGTGACTTGCGTCACTAGAGCCAACGCTGCCTTCAGTGGAACTCACGCTTCCCTCCTAAGAGTGTTGCTGAGAGTAACAGAGAGGGCTCAGCAAAAAGATCCCAGAGCAGGTCTGTGATTGCACCAAGCATTACGACACCCTGCCCGATGGCTATTAGTGAAGAACCTGGCAGCTGCTGTTCACAATAAGTGGGCAGTGATGTTAGAGACAGGTTTACAAACAAAGCTGTTGCACAGTCAAGCGAAAGGCTTGGAATGGTTGAGAATTCGGTACGTTCTTGCTCTGAATGCATCTGGTGTCAGGCCCCACGCACAGCCCTAAGATGATAGGCTAGATAAAAAGTCCCCATGGTCAGAAGAAATTGACGTTTACAGAATGGACCTTTACAGGCTTCCATCGAAGCAGCTCAATGCATTTACCAGGGAGATTGTAAGGCTAAGTTACACTGTGAAGGAGACTAGTGTTATCCTGATTTTACAGGGGGAAAAAGAGAGAAGGTTAAGTGACTTGCCCATGGTCACACAGAGCGGGTGTTGCAGAGACAGGAATGGAACACAGGTCTCTTGAACCCAGTCCAGTGTCTTGGCCATGAGACCTTCCTCCCTCAAAAGCTTTCAGGGACTAAAGGCTAGTGCCATGCAGCCTGTATGTATTCAGTGCCCTGAAGTGTGCAGTTGGAAGCCTCAAATGGTACATCTACATTACCAGTAGATATTGTGGCTGGCCCGTGCTAGCTGACTCAGGCTCTTGGGGCTCGGGCTAAGAGGCTGGTTAATTGTGGTGCAGAAGTCCAGCTCTGGCTGCAGCCCAGGCTCTAGGACCCTGCATAGCAGGAGGGTCGCAGAGCTAGCGCAAGGCACTTACACAGCCCCTTAGCCTGAGACCTGTGAGCCAGAGTCAGTTGGCACAGGCTAGCAGTGAGTTTTTAACTGCAGTGTAGACATACTGTAAGAGTTTACACTCCAAAGTAGACAATATCCAGACAAAAGCAGAGTTGGGGGTGCTCCACAAGACTTTGCCCCTTTGCTTTTCACTCATGTGGATCTTGTCTTATTGCTGATCCTGCACCTAAAAAAAAAAATTGTTGAATATTAGTAGCAAGACGGAGGCCCAGAACAACTCACCCACGGCAATTTCTACTACTTTGATCACTGCAGGTCACCCCTTTGCAGCCCATGTGAATTCCAAAAGGGATGTATCAATTTAGCCTTTCCAGCAAGCCCATCAGCATTGCCGAGCAAGTGCCACAAGCAGAACAGGCAGCGCGAATGAGATGTGGGGTAGTGCACATCCAAAAGGCACCTAACTGAAAGAGAGAGTCTCTCCGAGGCAGCCCTACCCTGCTGAGATGAGTCCTTCCTACTCATCCTTTGAAAATAACTTCTTCTTCAATGAACAGTAAAAAGTCTGGCTTTCCTCTGAAGGTTGACTTCTACTGAGAACAATCCAGATTTGTAAAACTGACTTCTGGCAAGAAGCAGTGT